AGGGGCGCCTGGGTGGCTCAGTCGGTTGAGCGTCCGACTTCGGCTCAGGTCATGATCTCGCAGTCTGTGAGTTCGAGCCCCGCGTCAGGCTCTGGGCTGATGGCTCAGAGCCTGGAGCCTGCTTCCGATTCTGTGTCTCCCTCTCTCTCTGCCCCTCCCCTGTTCATGCTCTGTCTCTCTCTGTCTCAAAAATAAATAAATGTTAAAAAAAAAAATTTAAAAAAAAATTAAGAAATAATAAAAAATTGAAATTAAAAACAAAAACAAAAACTAGAGTCGAAAACTATCATTAATTTTTGACATGCCATTAAATGTGACTTTCTTAGCAAAACTTAAATTAGAGGCACCCAGGGCAGTAAAGAAACTGTGGGCTAGCAAAACAAAGAAGGTAGAGTTATCTCTTTTAAGCTTGTTTTTGATAGTCATGAAATAAATTTTTTTTTAGCATACATAGATGCTAAGTTTAATATACTAAAATTAATTGAATGAGAGTATATGTTGTGATGTGTTAAAATGTATGAGTGACTGGTTCTCCACATCCTCAAGAACGCTCTGTTTCCAGGGGCCCTGCCAGAGCAAGAACCATGGCTTACTTTGGGGAAGGGAAAGGCCCCATCCATGTGGATAATGTGAAGTGCACAGGAAATGAGCGGTCCCTAGCTGACTGTATCAAACAAGATATTGGAAGACATAACTGCCGCCACAGTGAAGATGCAGGGGTCATTTGTGATTATTTTGGCAAGAAGGCAACAGGTAACAGTAATAAAGGTAAGTCATTTTCCAGGGCCTGTACAAGTCAAAGAGTGTTCTTCACTTGATTAGTATCAGCAGTACTTTGATAACAAAAGTCTCCTTCATAAGACTGTATATAATCCCTGGTTCCTTGTGCTCATATTTAGAGGCAGTGGTTTCCTGACAAACCTGACTGGATGGGGCTTACAGGGAGAGCAGAGCTCAGGGGCAAGAGTGGATTTACAGGATTTGTAATCTCTGGCATCTGGCCCTTTCCACGTTCTCAGCCATTTCTGTACCATTCCTTCTCTGGATGTGATAAAACTGTCAAACTTGTCGGTATCCTTGAAGATTTAGAACTGATAATTACTTCACAAAAACAAGGCCAGAAATGACAATTTAAAGATATGGCATAGAAAGGAACTTCTTCCACTCTCACTAGTATTTTAAAAATAGAGATACATTTAAAAGTAATTGCAAAAAGAAGGTTATCTTTTGTAGATTTTATTCTCTGAAATTAAAAAATGTAAGGGAAATGAGAAATAATCTTTCAGTACAACACAGTAATAGGTGTTTTATACTTAAATAGAAAGGTCATTGAAAGCTGAGTGTAACTTTTATGAAACAAATACTCCTTTAGAATAAAGAAGTAGCTATTTTGTAGAAAACTGGTTACATTTTATGAATAGAACAATGATCTCTTTATGTGTTTTGAAAGCTCAGAGTTTTGATCATTGGATTTTCTGAAAAGTAGGTGTATCTGTATTTAAACATTCTCTTCCTCTAACATCTTTTAATTGCTAAAGACCATGCAAAAATGAACTGGATGTTGTTAATATGATTCTTCACTGTCTGAGGAGCTTTTGAGTATGAAGAGTACTTAAAACCTTTTGTGCTTTGTTTTATACACACACACACACACACACACACACACACACATAATCGGCTTACTAAATCATATGTTTAATATTATTAAATAGTATACTTATATACAAGTATTAATTATAACTTATTAAAGTGCCTTCAGTAATTTAAACTATAGTTAAAAATTGAATATAATTAATTCTTTGGATTATGTCAAATTTCTTAAGTGGTAGAAAAACATAAAAATTCAATAATTGTAAAATGTTTTTGCTTTGGATTCTCTCTTTCTGCCTCTCCCGCACACTCTTTCTCTCAAAATAAATAAGTAAACTTAAAAAAAATATTTCCTCTTAAACAAGCTGGATTACATAATTTGGTTTGTTAACCCTGATTTTGTATTGAGGCTCAAGACCTAGTGACTTCTATAAGGGGACTGAAACTCAAGGCATTGGTTATTGGTCATCTGATGGGATCCTTTTATAAATGAATTTCATTTTGCTTAAAAAATTTTTTTTTGTAGCCGTGGATTTTACGCCTTATTAGATTTTACACTTTTGCAGTCTGGTGCTTTGCCCTGGAATGATGTAAACTTTCAGTTTTGCTTGCTCAGTATTACATCATTCTTTATCTTGGCCTTATATACATTGACCTGACTTGGACCGTTATTTGAAACTTATGTTTTTCTAATGTCTTATAATTTGCTGTGTCATCTAGAGGATTCATATCCTAAGAGATGAGAATTAAAGTTTGACAGCATGCCTCTGAGATCACTTGGCAAATTAATGATCTTGGTAAACATTGTTGAACCTTTTTCTCCATGAAGAAATAACTAGTGTTGATCCCCTACTGAGCTCACTTCTACCTGGTTATTATGGGGGAATATTAGTGCAGACTAGATTTTCATGCTCTTGGCACAATTCCCCACCTTCTCTTCTTACACAGATAGAAAAAGTGTCAATCTATACTTGGTACACATGTACTTAACCAAAGAAACAAAATACCCCTGTATAGATTCCCCTCCTTCTAAAATTATTTTTAAAATAGCTATACTTTGGGGCACCTGGGTGGCTCAGTCAGTTGAGCGTCCGACTTCGGTTCAGGTCATGATCTCGCAGTCTGTGAGTTCGAGCCCCACGTTGGGCTCTGTGCTGACAGCTCAGAGCCTGGAGCCTGCTTCAGATTCTGTGTCTCCCTCTCTCTCTGCCCTTCCCTGCTCATGCTCTGTCTCTCTCTGTCTCAAAAATAAATAAAAACATTAAAAAAAATTTTTTTAAATAGCTATACTTTATTTTATTTACTTTCTTTTGTATACCACCTTTTCATATATTTTCGTTCTTAATTCTTTTTTTATGCTCTTGTGAGAGTCTGTTATCTTGGGAAATTTGACTGTATTACCTAAAATGCCACTTAGTGTGTTTAGTAAACCCTTTCCATATAATAATATGCTATATGAGTAAAATATAAATGTAAATATAGATCAGAATCCCATTCTAAGTTACATTTTGTATAAGTGGCCTGGAAAGTGTTGTATGTGAAAAGCAAATTACTTAGACCTGTACTACCTTTGCAATTCTCTTGTTTTGTTTAATGTTCCTGCACTCCGAAACAGTCTCTGTAATCAGCAGAGGGAGGGCTGTAGGCGCCTGTGGGATGACATGCTGGACAGGGTCACAGCTGAATGTGGGAAACCTCATAAAGTTCCTTGTCTGCTTGTGAATTCTTGTTGCCTTGGCTAAATGAGAAGACTTTTCTTTCTTTCTTTTTTTTTTTTTTTTTTAATTTTTTAATGTTTGTTTATTTTTTATTTTTTATTTTTTTTAACGTTTATTTATTTTTTTGGGACAGAGAGAGACAGAGCATGAACGGGGGAGGGGCAGAGAGAGAGGGAGACACAGAATCAGAAACAGGCTCTAGGCTCTGAGCCATCAGCCCAGAGCCCGACGCGGGGCTCGAACTCACGGACCGCCAGATCGTGACCTGGCTGAAGTCGGACGCTTAACCGACTGCGCCACCCAGGCGCCCCAATGTTTGTTTATTTTTGAGAGACAGAGCACAAGCGGGGGAGGGGCAGAGAGACAGGGGGACACAGAATCCAAAGCAACTTGCAGGCTCTGAGATGTCAGCACAGAGCCCAATACAGGGCTCTAACTCATGAACCGTGAGATCATGACCTGAGCCAAAGTTAGTCGCTTAACCAACTGAGCCACCCAGGCACCCCAACTTTTAATTTTTATTATAAGAGAAGGTATCCTATAATTTGAGGAGAAAAGATGTTTTAAAATAGAGAAAGAAACGGCAGGAGACTGTGTCACTTGTGTCTTTGTCCCACTGTTAACAATACAACAGTCTGATTAATAACCTCTGTCTGCTTCAGAATCCCTCTCATCTGTTTGTGGTTTGAGATTACTGCACCGTCGGCAGAAGCGGATCATTGGTGGGAAAAATTCTTTAAGGTAAAAGGTCCTTCAGAGATTTTACATATTACAAAACTATTTATGTACGTACAGTGTTACAAATTGGGGGTTTTTCTACTATGATATGAGGGATTTATTTTACTTACTTAATTTCCTAAATTAAATCCAGATTACATTTTTTTTCTTTTAATCTACATTTACTTTATATAGACTGTGTTCTTAGATCACTACCTCCTGATTTATACAATAGATACGTTGCTGAAAAGTTATATTGTTGAATCTCACTAAGAGGAGGTCTGAAAAATATGTAACTACAAAATTCATTTAATTTAGAATATATTTGTTTTAGACTTGACTCTTTTAAATGTATTTTTTTTTTATTTGTTGCGTTTACTAATGGAAACCCAGTACTTTGCTTAATGAAATACTTCTTCGGGCTGCTTAGGTGAGGTAGTGAGGAGAGAAAATACACTTCAAGCAATGAAATATAGAGAAGACGGAGTTTTTTCCACGAGTGTCAGAGGTGGGTGGGATGCATACAAATGTCCATAAGCAGATCTTCAGTGTGGTCTGCTCCAGGTTGTAGGGGTACCATTTTCAAAGTAGGGAGAGATCTTACCTGCTAGGGTCCCTTTTATGTGGCTTTCCTCCCACCTGCAAGCCTTCCAAGTCATTGTCTTAATGGATGCTTTTCTTTGCTTTTCTCCCTTATACGGACTCAAGTGGCTTACTTTCTTCTTAGGGGTGGTTGGCCTTGGCAAGTGTCCCTCCGGCTTAAGTCATCCCATGGAGATGGCAGGCTCCTTTGTGGGGCCACACTCTTGAGTAGCTGCTGGGTCCTTACAGCAGCACACTGCTTCAAGAGGTACGTGTCCACCTTTCCAAACAAGTCCGTTGGGTTCTTATTTGACAGTGCTTCCAATTCCTTCCTGCTCCGTAGCATACTAGAAACTTGGGGTGACAGAGCCAGGCTACCAATCTTCTTTACCTGTGCCCACGGCACTGTGGAGGTGGGGGAGGTAACAGAAGGAGCAACGAGAGCCCTCTGGAAGCTACTTGCTACGCCAGTGTTAAAGCAAACTCTGTATTTGGGGGAAGAGAAGATGCATTTTGGGAGGGGAGGCAACTATGTTAGTGCTTCCCTCAAGAACTTATCTGAGGGTGAAATCATATCCCAGTAGACCTAGAGGAGATCTCAGATGACCCAGTAGTGGATACTAAGAGTAGGGAGTGAAGTTTTTATTGTTTTTTGATCCTTTGGATCTTGGTGTTTTGTGTCTTTTAGATTTCTCTATTTGTACCTTCTAGAAAGTCCAGGTTGCATCCTGATTATTTCCTCATCTCCCAAACATTTTATCACTTCATTCTGAAGTCTTCCCAGTTGAGAGGGGAGGCCATACAGAGAAAAATGGTGTGCCAGAGTCACACTGCTCATGGTGGCAGTGTCTGCACTAGGACCTGGCTCTCCTTTGTTCTTGTCCTGTGTTCTTTTGTGGGCCTGACTAATGGCCATTTCCTCAGCATGAATTTTGGGATTTAAAAACGTATACCAATCCTTGGCAAAATATTGATAATTAGTGAAGCAAGGTGATTATACAGGAGTTTCACTGTGCTATTCTAATTGTGTATATTTGAAAATGGTCATAATAAAAAGTCTTATATAAAATGTATAACATGTCATTGAAAAATTCTTACAAGCAAGAATTTGTTTTATATTTTTCCATATGTGATACAAGGCTTCACTATATATGTACAATTTATCCATATAGGTTTTGTTCACTTTAACCACCATGTGAATTTTAACTCCTATTGTAAGGCTAAATCACGATTTATTTAGTCCCCTACTAATGGATAGTTAGTTGGTTTCAATTCTTTCACTATGAAAAAACAATGCTGTAATAGACATCTATTGTATGTCTCATTGGGTACACATATGTGGGAGCATTTTGCTAGAGTATGGGCACAATTCAGTTTTACTCAGCACTATTAATTTATTTTCTAAAGTAATTGCATCCATTTATATCATGGCAGTAGGTAAGTCCATTTCCTCAAGTCCCCACTTCAACTTGATATTATCTATCAACATTTTTAGTTTTTGTCAATCTTAGACTTTTTGGATTTCTTTTCAGTTCCACTTCCCTGATTAGTGTCTTCCTCTTTCATGAATTTCTTTGTTCATATTCTTTGCTTATCTTAATATTGGATTGTCTTTTTGTAATTGATTTAAAAAATTTGTTCTGTGTGCGGAGTCTTTGTTGTTATGTGTTACAAATACCTTTTCTCAGTCTGGGGTTATGTCCTGTCCACTTGTTTAAAATCTTTTTCTTATGAAGATATTTTAATATCTTCATTTAATATGTTTAATATGTGTCAATTTTTTAAGTTTGATATAATTTTTTATATTTATTTAAAATATCCTTTCCTAGGGGCACCTGGGTGGCTCACTCATTTGACTGTCTGACTTTGGCTCAGGTCATGATCTCAGTTTGTGAGTTCGAGCCCCCCCGTCAGGCTCTGTGCTGACAGCTCGGAGCTCGGAGCCTGGAGCCTGCTTCCGATTCTGTGTCTCCTTCTCTTTCTGTCCCTCCCCCACTTGTGTTCTGTCTCTATCAAAAATAAATATTAAAAAAAAATTTTAAATATCCTTTCCTAGCCCCACATGATGAAGATTTTATCTTACTTCTTCACTAAGAAAATGTATAATTTTGTTCATGTTTAGGTTTTTAATCTGTTTACTGTTTATTTTTTGTATACATAGTATGAGAAAGGAGCCTCATTTTATACTTTCATGGATAGTTAGTTTACCAGCACTTTGTATTGAACATTACATTCTTTTTAAAAAAACTTTAAATATTTTTTTCTATCTAATGATGGAGCTTTATTTTTTCTTTTTTTCTTCTTTTTTTTAAGTTAAATCTTAGTTATGAACATTACATTCTTTACCCAAAGATTTATGTCAATTATCTTGTATGCTCAGTTCTCATATATCTTTGTTTCTAGGATCTCTATTCATTTCCTCTTATCTATTTTGGTAAATATTTATGAAGTAATCTTCCATTTGTAAAGTGTGCAGAAGACACATATCTATATTTTACATAGCCTTTGTCATTTCTGGGATAATAATTGAGTTTGAGAGTTCACCTATATATCAGTGGGTTTAATACATTCATGTGTTACATCAACGGCACACACAATAAAGATTATATTCATTCATTGACTTAACAAAAATTTAATATTCCCAGGAATATGCTATAGGATATAGTGGAGAGAAGACAGATAAGGATCATTGCTATGATAAGAATTTTCAGTGTAGCTATAGGAACCCAGAAGAGGGAGCTATTGATATTGCTGATAAAATAGTATCAAAAAAAAAATTCAGGGCACAATTTTTAAAGTGTGGTCTTGGGGCGCCTTGGTGGCGCAGTCGGTTAAGCGTCCGACTTCAGCCAGGTCACGATCTCGCGGTCCGTGAGTTCGAGCCCCGCGTCGGGCTCTGGGCTGATGGCTCAGAGCCTGGAGCCTGTTTCTGTTTCTGTGTCTCTCTCTCTCTCTGCCCCTCCCCCATTCATGCTCTGTCTCTCTCTGTCCCAAAAAATAAATAAACGTTGAAAAAAAAAAATAAATAAAATAAAGTGTGGTCTTTCCACCACAATATTAGATACATTTAGCTTGTTAAAAATTCAGATTCCTGGGCCCCTCCTCCAGATCTACCGAATCTTTAGAGCCAAGCCTCAGGAGTTGGCATTTTTATCAAGCATCTCTGATGATCCTTCTCAACACTAAAGGTTAAGACCCACTTGCCTAGTGGATAAAACAGAACATGATCTGGATATGTTTGAAGAATGATGATGAGGAAGACTGTAATAGAGCTCATAGGATACTTATCCATGTCCTATTCAACATATTAGTCACAAAACTAAAAAAGGACACTGATGGCAAATTAATTATATTTTTGGATGCCAGAAGATTGGGAGAGACACATATTGGAAGATAGGATACATGATGGGAAAAGATCTTGATAGTTTGATCCTAACAAGCAGTGCAGAATAAGAAGGAAGTAAAATGCTGACTTTAGTTCCAGGAAATGTGGCTTAAATGTAGCACACGTGAAAATGACCGCATGGGTTTTAGAGTCCTGCAGCCTTAATACAAGTCAGTGATGTAATGCAGTTGCTCACAAAGTTTATCAGTTTTGAGCAGCACTGAAAGAATATTGTCAAGGCAAAGCAGTGATGAGCCTAGCTATTCTTACTATGCTCAAGCTATTGTCAGAGACAAAAGCACTGTCACTATCAAACAGAGAGAACTTGGCTCAGTTCTGGGGGCCACATGATGAAAAAATGACATGGTACACCAGGGAAGGCAAACAGACAGGGGAGATTGTGTGGAATCAGATTAGATTTGTTACCTGTTGCTTCAGATACTTCAGATGTTAATGGGAGAAAATATAATTTTCATTTTAACCAAAGAGTTGTTTATTTTTTTATTTACTTAACACTAGGACAATTCAAAGATGGAATGGGCTGTATGTGGGAGGAAGACTAAGTTCTGTTATGAAGTGTGTCCAAGCACAAGAGGTTGTATTCATGGATTGATAGAGACTGGAGCTGGGTAACCATCTAATGTTGAGAGAATAGTGGTGAAAGAAGCAGGAGACATATTTGAACGATGGGAGTTATTAGTTAAGATAGTGATCTGGAGTTTTGGTAGTGGACTTACAGTAGAGAAGCAGGAAAGACCCAGGGGTCCCTGGGTGGCTTAGTCAGTTAAATGTCCAACTCTTTATTTTATCTCATGTCACAATCTCATGTTTCATGAGATTGAGCCCCACATTGGGCTCTGCACTGACAGTGAAGAGCCTGCTTGGGATTCTCTTTCTCTCTCTCTCTCTCTGTCTGACTCTCCCCTCACTCTCACACACTCTGTCTCAAAAATAAATAAGTAAACTTTAAAGAGAGAGAGGGAGAGAAGCAGGAAAGGTCTGAAATGCCGGAATAGTGAATTTTTGTTTCATTCACTAGGTGATGGGAAACCACTAAAGGTTTTGAGCCTTGAAATGTGATCTAAGAGGGGTTTTAAGATGAGTCATTGGGAGATATATAGGATTGATCTGAGGATGTAAAGCAAAATTATTAATCCAAGAGTCTGTGAATGAGCTTCAAATTAGATGAAAAATCTTTGCACACATGCTACTGGAGTGACTCCAATTGGTCCGTGTTACCAAGTGATTAAGACTCACTATGGTAGGAACTGGAGGGGGACTATTGTAATAGAGATAGAAGATGGAAAAGAAAAGGAGGGAGAGAAGGTAGAGTCATGGTGACAAAAGTCAGTAGAACTTGGTACTGTGTAACAAGAGACTTGGATCTGGCCATTGAGACCAAGGTCACAGTTCTCCAATTTTAACTATTCACTTTTGTGAAAATTATTTAGCCTCTTGGAGCCTCAGTTTTCCCACTCATGAAATGAAGGCAATAATATTCCACAGTGAAGAACAAAGGACCTGCTAAATGTCTGAAAGTATTTGATAAAATGTGAAATTCAAAACAAATGTTGGTTGTTATATGTTAGGGTTCCAAAAAGAGAATCAAAGATTCTTATTTTCAACAGTAAAAAATTCTGGGTGATTTTATTCCACTGACCACTGGAGAAGAATAAGGTAGGAAACTACAAGGAACCTGGAGAAGCCTGTCTTAGGGTTTAGAGGTTAGGCAAAATAATTCAGTAGGTTCAGTTTAGATTATCCTGTTTTCTAAATGCTTCATCTTTTAAATCTCTGCTAAAAGTTACAGACTTCAGGGTTCAAGGCTTAAAGTATTAAGTAGGGAAATTACCCAAAAATTCCACTTGAGTTGAACACTTAGA